ACCAAATGCTGTGGGGGAGTGTGCAAGGCGTGCTGCACAAGTGGGGACTGCGGATATGGGAAGGTCTGCTGCAGGGGACAGTGCATATCCGGTACATGCTGCCCCGGGGACGCCAACTGCTGCAATGGAGTGGCATGCGCTGCTGGAACCAAATGCTGTGGGGGAATGTGCAAGGCATGCTGCACTAGTGGGGACTGCGGATATGGGAAGGTCTGCTGCAGGGGACAGTGCATATCAGGTACATGCTGCCCTGGGGCAGCCAACTGCTGCAATGGAGTGGCATGCCCTGCTGGAACCAAATGCTGTGGGGGAATGTGCAAGGCGTGCTGCGCTAGTGGGGACTGTGGATATGGAAAGCTCTGTTGTGGAGGGCAGTGCAAGGTCTGCGAATGCTGCCCTGGGACGTTAGGCTGCTGCAATGGGAGGCGCTGTCCCACTGGCAAGGTCTGCTGCAATGGAGAATGCAAGGCTTGCTGCTCAGACATCCATTGTCCATCCTCAAAGAAGTGCTGCAATGGAGTGTGCAAGATGTGCTGCATACACAAAGACTGCTTCGGTGCTGGCCTCAACCAATGCTGTGATGGTTTCTGTCAGAAGAATTGCTGTGCGAATGGTATTTGTAAAGGAAAAAAGTGTTTGGTGGGAGAGTGTAATCATCACTAAAATGAACTTGAACTCCTGCAGCCAATGGTGCGGGGGCGCGGGACAGTTGCAATTAGATAAGATCATACAGCAGATAGACGTCTTTCAGTGGGGAATGGAAAGGTTCGTGAGTACGGGGACAAAATGGATTCAATTACACTGTGTTGCAGGTAGAGGCCTTTATATAGAGAATGGGTATGGAGATGAGTGTTGTAGAGCTTAATAATATATACAGGAAGTTGGACATCACTCACGAGAATGCCTGATTATGGCCCCTACTTGTGAGGTGGCCCCAACTTGCATGTGATGTCCCCGCCAGTCTGCGCCAGGCATGGCTGCATGCTTAAGTTTACGATTTGCACCTAAGGCTTCTGTAGGTACGCATAGATTCTTGCTGGCAGCTTTTCAGTCGCACTTTTACAAGCCGATTTCTGCTCACGAATAAATTCAATTCCACTGTAATACCTAGTAGTAGACTAGTAGACTAGTAGTAGTATTTTTATTGTCAATATTTTCTCTTCTTCTTCTTGCAAGGAAGAAACAAAGGGGCATTATCATCGACTCTCAGTTTGTCATGCCTTCTGTGATCTCTCTCTCTCTCTCTCTCTCTCTCTCTCTCTCTCTCTCTCTCTCTCTCTCTCTCTCTCTCTCTCTCTCTCTCTCTCCTCTCTCTCTCTCCCCCCCCCACTCTCTCTCTCTCTCTCTCTCTCTCTCTC